GAGAGGGAGAGAGAGAGAGAGAGAGATAAAAATAAATAAAAACAAATACGAGTACGAGCATAATAGTCGTTGCAGGAATCTTCAATTTAAATTCTAAATGTAATCCTTTTTTCAGGCTTAACCCTGAGTCATGCGAATGTCTCCCTCCAAACGAACAACAAGGCAACGCCGACGACGCCAAACACGAGTATTGTCCAACAGCAGCACCACCAAACCGGTAGCAACGGCGGACACGTGTCGACGTCGAGCGGACATCAGCAACAGCAGCAGCATCATCACCATCATCACGAAGCTCTGGCCTCGGGTTGTCATCTCGTGGCTTCGGGCCACCAGCCGCTCGCCGGCCTCACGCCCATCGTCGCCCCAATGACGGTCGTCTCTCAAGGCAGTAACCAGGTGATCCTCGCGCCGAGCTCCCTTACCGGCAAGATGATCGGCACGCCCCTGCTGAAATCCGTCGGCCAGGGCCACTTGCCGCTGACGGTCAACGCTCAGTACCTCAACAGTCTGGTGAAGCCCGTGGTCGTCGTCAGCAGCAATCACCAGCAGCAGTCGCAGCAGCAGCAGACTGGCCCTGGGAACGCGTCCACGGGTTCTCAATCGGCGGTCTGACAGGCGGGCGCTCAGCCGCTCGGGTCCGTCTGAGACAAGGGCAGCCGAGCCACCAAGATTAGCCGAACGCTCGTAGTGGCGAATGCGACTGGCGCGGGCCAACTCCTCGGGCATGGCACTAGCAGGAGCGTGATCGCGAGAGCCGTGTAGACATTGCCCGTCGTCAGGACGCGCGCCCCACGGCGGCGATTCCCTTACCAGGTGTGAATAAAACAGTGGCCCAAGCCCTTGAGCGTCGAAACAGTTGTATTCCGAGTTTCTATTTATCGAGGAATAATGGGTTACATTAGCTTGTTGTGCCTGTCAAATGTCCTGGCGCAACCTTACGCGCTTCGCCACTTTATCCTTCGTGAATGCATCGTAATAAACCTGAACCAGCTCCAGCGGCATCGAGTGACCGTGCTTTGGCACTTGGAGGAGCGATCTCCTCGTCGCAGTTGATATATCCATCACAGCTGACTTTGACAATGTCAATACGAAATCCCACATAGGCATCTCCTTCCCTCCTCTTTGCACTCGAAAGAGGAAATATTTTATATGTCTGCAGCACGAATACGCCTGCATGAAGAACGCGTTCGCCATTCGTGGTAACAGTTGCAACACTCGTAACTGTGTCGCGATTTTGGCTCGATACTACTTTCCCATGGCCCTTAATGGGGAACCTTGAGGGGACGCTTGGAGCAGATTTATACCCTTAACGGGTATGGTATAGTCTCCATTGTCACGCATCCTATAATATAAATTTGATGTAAAAGTTACATCGCGTGGCTGAAAGACTTGCGGCAATTAACGCTAATATTATGATGATTGGTCGCCGCCTTGTTGTCCTCGGCGTTACAAAGCCTTGCTTTTTTCTTTTTTTTTTTGTAGCGGTGACTGCCACAAAACTGCCGCCTGCATCATTGCCTGACGTAATATCATTTGTTGCTGCATTAAGCGTAATGATGCGTAGTGGTGCTGGAACATTGTAATTGGTAGTTGCCCACTCATCCGCTAATCGGCCGACTTTAAATCATGATACGTCCGTTCATACGACTTAACAAACAAATACAAAAATAAAAACAAAAGGAAAAAGACAAAAAAAAAAAAAACAAAAAAAAAAGAAGAGGTAGAATCCTTATTATGGCATAAGTCCTGCGTTATTTGGTTCGATCGAGTATAATGATGATTGGAATTTTCGATGATCCCTCTGCTTGGCTTTAAAAAGATGGCGCGTCATGGTTGTATTTGCTCGGTGTCCTATTCCGCGGGATTCGTTTTGGATCATTTGGTCCGACAGGATCGTGGCCTATCAAGGAAGTTCCAATTTTCTTCAAGCAATTTCAGTAGCCTCGCGCTACGATCCAGGTCAGCCTGATGCAAGCACTTGCGTCTTAAACGAAACTCGACACAATATTAACGGGATGGTAATTTCGTTTGGAAAAGGATTTTTCCTCACGAGTACACGTCCCTTTACAATCGATGGAAAATCATTAAACGCTCAAAGTTAATCACTTGACTCGTTAAGTCATTATTATTTGCTCCATTTTCATTGATACCGTTAAAGAATATCCTCTTGTAGCAAATCAGGCATACGTCGTAGTTTTACAAGGACTTAATTTTCTTAATAGTCTATTGTTGGCGGATATTTATTTTACGTAAGAGGATCGTGTTTTTAACGGCTGATATATCAATTTCACTGCAATGCGTATAAGGTGTCGATTTAAGTTCGTAAGCTAGAGTTTTATTTTAATCATTGATCAATGGTAGTGTAATTTTTCGATCAACTACATAATAGACAATTTCAATAAAGCTGTGGTAAATCATTCGTATAAAGATTTTTATCCTTGTATACAGACATCATGGCATTGTGAGAAAATGATGTAGCTGCGCTTTCTTGTTTGGCAGGATAAATTTTGCCACAAGAGGATATCTCTCCGAGTGCTGCTACTACTACCGCTGCTGCTGCTGCTGTTGCTGTTGCTGCTGCTGCTGCTGCTGATGATGATGATGATGATGATGATGATGATGCTGGCTTGCGTTTACGTTTACGGTTACGAATGAAATGAAAAATAAATACATATCTTGTTTATTATCGAAAGGACTGCTTTGATCGATATATACATAATATACTTGTTGAAAGGAAGCGAATTAAAGTGAAATAAAGCGAAATTAAGCGAAATAAAGCGAAGTAAAACAGAGGGGGGGGGGAGTGAGAAATCGCAGGAAAGACATGGATGATGAAGCGGGGAGAAAATAATTTTTTGCATGTGTTCGTTGTGTATAGTAGACAACATTCGATATTTGACCAGCGCTCAAGGATCAAAACAATCGATCGGATAATTTCAATTGTCCATGGTTTATTATATTTCAATATAAACATAAAATATTAATTACCAAAACGATTTATTCAAATCTTGAATTGTGCACTGCTAAACATAAGACGTTAGAGAAGAACTTTTCGTCGGGTATCTCCTGGCTAGAAAGTTTATTTTTAATTTTCTTTATTGCAAAGTTCAGGAACAATAATGTTCTGCTGATTTAAAACTACACTACTTTTAACATGTAAACTTGAATAATATACATTTACCTTCATCTTTTTCATTAAACAAAATTGCTTAAAAAGTAATCTTATATCGCTAAATCTAACTACGGTACATATTTATCGACATTTTAGTCCAAGTAATTATTCCAAATAATAGACGCGATATTTAAATAATGCACCGATCCTATCCGAAAGTTGCGCGAATATTAAAATATAATCATTGAATATTGCGTTGTGCTTGAGTTGAATACTACGATACCTCGGTCTATTCCATTGCTAATAAATGTGTGGCTGTAGTATGTGTCGACTCAATCGCTTAACCACGAGTTTTTCATTGGGCTCGAGCTTTTCCACTAATTCACTGATTCCGACAATTTATCGAGAATTATCGAATCGAGTTAATAATACCATCACTTCGAGATTGACCATTTTTTCCCAACTTTTCCTATCCTAAGTTAAACAAACAAACAAACAAAACAAAAAAACAAAAAAAAACTTGAAGCTGAGCAGGATATTATTAGAAAGCACCCACAGCTGGTGGCTCGTGTTCTAACGATATTTCTGCTCGTACCCGAGAATGTTAATCTTAACATAAGTCCGATATCAAAATAAGTGATTAGTTATCGTCGTTATAGCTATTTTTATTTTTATTTTTTTTATTTTTTTTTTTTTTTTTTTTTTCCGACACTTACTATCCATGTTGGAAGGCAGTATTTTGTACGCTGGAATGTGTGTGTTAGAAGGAGCGAAATAAAAATGAGCGATGGAGACGAGGAATCCTAACTTCCGTACTAGTATACTCAATCACAGAGATATTCTTCAAAATATTCTTAATTTTTGAACCGAATAGTTGAAATAAATTTATCGATTATTGCAAATTATCTTACTCGGTGTAATGATTTCATTTTAATTATCCATTAATACTGTTCTTTATATTTTAAAGAAAATTGCTTATGCGTTATTATTAATATTTCTATTTCTTTTAATAACACTTTCTAACCAGGACACATTTTTTATCATTATATCCCCAAAGTTTTATTGCTATTAATATCAGCATTATTATTATTCCGTGAAACTAGAAGATCTTATAATTTAGGAATAAATGAGGAAAAAAAGAAAAAAATTTGGCTCAGCCGTCCTGACTCGAGTTGTAAATCAATGCTTTTATACTTTTTTCAGATAAAAAAAAAATAAAAACTCGATGTCTCGACAATCGATCATTAAATATAATCAAAAAGTAGAAAATACGAGAGAAATAGACGGGACGGTAACGGGTGAATATATCCCGTTATATTTTTCTTTTACATATGCATATATATATATATATATATATATATATATATATATATACAGACACACAACACTTAAAATATACATCGGCACACACAGACACACACACGTATATACAGCCTGATAGGAGGGGGGGGGGCACACGGACTCTGGTAGAAACATCTACTTTTGTTAATGTGAATGCGTCGCCAACGGTTTGTGACGTATGCTGTCACTTTTCGCAAGTTAGTATTATGAAATTGTATGCACGTTCATACACGCCAGGCGCATGCAGTCAGTCAATTTCTTTTTAACATCGAAAGTTCTACTTATGATTCAGCCACTATTATATTATACAATATATATATATATATATATATATATAATGTTTTTTCTGTGCAAAATAAAAAATTACATATATGCACTATGTAAATCGAAGTTTGACACCTACGAGAAGTAATTAACCAGATGAAAATACAATTTTATAAATAAATATCAATCGAGAATAAACGGGAAAACGATACGAAGCTTTTCTTCGCAAGTAGAAGAGAATTTGTGTCCCTTTTACACTAATCTAATCCTTCAACTTTGTCTCAATCGATGTGTCGATTTGATGTTTGGCTCGAGTCGTAGCGAGTAGTCTACTTATCGAAAAGAAACTTAGGAAGACGAAGCATAATAATAAAAGCCGAGGAGGAGAATTTTGGGGACTGATAGATCATAGAGTGGATGATTGAAGTTGTAAAATGTGAACGATTGTACAAGACGCTGTATGCGAGTGAAAATGCGAAAAAGGAGGACAGAGTGATCGGGTGATAAGTTTGATGGGTTTTGGGGGGGGGGGCTGAGTCGAGGCTGGCGAAGCAAATGTAATACAAATTGAACGACTGAGTGAGAGCGAAATCCAGCGAGAAGAGATTGTCAAATGCGAAAAAAATTAAGCAAAAAAACAGATAGAGAGATACAAACATTGTTGTAAATAAAGCGAGATAGATGTTATGAAAAAGCGATGGCGTAATAAGTAAAAAAAAAATTAATCAATAATTGCAACACGATGAAGGAAATGTGTACACGAACAATGTGATATAAGTAATTAATATAATTAATTAGCATCATAGCGCGTAAGGGAGATTTACGAGAGCTATTTCCAGTGTAGGCGACCGCTGCTGATTATTAATAAAAAAAAAAAAAAAAGGCACATACCTTGAAGAATTGCGATTACCTAATTGTAAATAGTATACAAAACAAAATGCAATCATGGGGATATAAATATATACACATGTGTTATGCAAATATATATATATATATATATATATATATATATATATATTGAAACGCATACGTGCACAAACACTCACACACGCGCTCGCGCGTATATATATATATATATATATGTATGTATGTATGTATGTATATTGTGCGCGCGTATGTGTGTGCGTGCGTGCGTGCGTGCGTGCGACAATGTGTGTATATGTATATATGCGTACATGTATGTATGTACAAACGTGTATCTATCTATCTATAGGCACGTGCATGCATGCGTACAGACACACAGGCGCGCGCGTACATACATACGCTCACATAAGTAAATACATAAGTAGACACATGCATACTCACATGTACACATACATTATAATAAATATGCGAAAAAGTCGAAGGACTGCGAGGAGTAATGGAGAAAAAGATAAAACGAAATCGCGCCCAGATTTTTACCACGCTAGCGTTGTATATCCCGCGTGACAAACGTTTGTATAACGCACTTATGGAGCGAATGTTGTAAGGAGAATAAATGTTATTGAGCGTCAATAAATTTTGTATTTTTTTCCCTTGATTATTAGTTGCAAGAAAAAAAAAATAGAAAAAGAAAAAAACATGCTTTGTATGCATAATTTTAATTTACGTTCCACTCACATTATTTATAGACTTTTTTTTTTTTTTATTCAATCGGTTTAATTATAGTGAAAAATCTTATTTTCATTCTATTACTTTTTCCAATTT